TCAACGCGCGCCGACAGGAAGATATTGGGCTTCAAGCGATGAACCATGCAGCTCCTCTATGCGAACGTGTTTGTCATATGGCCGAGAAGCTGGAACGCGCCCCTTGGTTCCTTCATAGACCCATTCGACCAGAATAGAAGGCAAACAACGAGACAACAATGCAGAGGAAAGACCGGAACGACGCGCAGTGTGCGAGGGTTTGCTTGCTCGGGCGCAATAAAATCTGGGGAAAGTCAGGCACAGCCCAAAGGATCGACCAAACTTTTGAGCACAAGGCGCGTGTCTGTGCCAGTCGCCGTGTCAGTCACGAGCCGTTGCCAAACTGCGATGATCATGGAAAGTGCCCAAAAGTTGAAACGACTCCATGGCCATCCTATTTTCCCATGGCTGATGGAGCCATTGAGAGGCATCCGTACGGACAGAAGATCAAAGACAGGCAGCTGTCTCCAGTGAGTGATCACAATGTGCTCAATCCCCACAATCTTGACGACTCCCTATTGAGGGTGAGAGCTTGCGCCGTGCCACCCATGCCCAAACGCAAAATGATGTGCAGCGAGGTCCATGCGACTTGATCGAATAGAGTTCGCCCATGGAAAAAAGGAACACAACTCGAAGCACAGGGGCAAATTTCCACCGAGGTGCAAAGAAAAGGGGGAAAATTGGCACGCTGGCGGCTTGCCCCAAACCGAAGAGTGACACCGGCCGTCGCTGTGAGTGTCAGTACCACGCCCGAGCAGTCCGAGACGAACTCCGGAGCAACACAGGGGGTTGGCGTTGCGAGCGTTCTGACAGGCTGGTGCCTCATCTCGAGTCCTAATCGGGCAAGTCGTCCAGTAAAGACATTGTGGCGCGTATGAAACGTCGTCCATCCTTCTCCATCCAACGACCCATGCGACCATGCGCCCATCGTATTCCTCAAAGATGAGTTGAATCGAAGGAACAGAGTACCGCCGAGACGCATGCGATTTTTTAGCTAGAGAACGCCAGTCGCCGAGATTGGGGCCATCCCAGTGCTCGCCATCAGCTGCAGTGACTTGGCTTGTAGCGACCCGCGCGAATGGTGCTGCGTCGGGATCCACGGTGGTCCTATGAAATGCTTTGGCGTGCTGCCTTGCACTGATGACTCGACCTCGCAGGTGAAGATCCCACGACGATTCCAAGATGTCCGCTGTCGTCCCTGCAGGATCATGCAGCCGGGGTGTTCCCCCCCCCAGACGATCCTCTTTCTCTCAATTAACGCTACCCGCGTTCTCCGTCGAGGACGACTGATACCGTCCGCAGTATCGTCCTGTCCCCCCACAAGCTCTCGTTATCAGAGGCACGACTTGCGTGACGATTACGTCTCGCTGCATTTCGCCATGTTGGCCTGCAGGCGCAAAGATTACAGTCAATCGTGACCCCCCACAGGAATCTCCTCATTGTGGTCGCATCGCGACCATATCCATAGGAGCGACGGTTGTCATGGTATCCTAGAGAGAAAATGGAGAAGACCAAAGACAAAGAGAATGGCCCCACTGCAAATAATCCTGCGTAGACACCACCGTGTGGTTCAAAGGCCGCAGGTATCTGAAGGGATCATCCCTCTCCGGAGGCTCAAGCCGGAATGATCTGACAGGGACGGGTTCGTTTGATCTTTTTCGGTAGCTGAACAATGTCAAGGAGTATTTGTTTGGTTCTCGCGCGCAAGTGTCGCGTCTTGCTCTTGCTTTGGTGGCAGCAAATCGAGGGTGAACACGAGATTGCAATGCTGTTCAGGATATGGCGGCATCCCCTCGGTCTTGGTGTTGTTTGTTCGGCCAAAGGGGTTACCAGTGACATGCCAGCGATCAGAGACATGCGACGAGCCTGCAGGCGGGTGTGTCTGACGAGGTGACAGCGTCGCATCATGAATCGAGGTGCGGGCAAATTTTCCAAAGACACCAAGGAGACGGTATGCGGTGAAGTGCAGACAAGACGTGCATCGCAATGTCAGACCCGTTCGATGTGCAATCAAGGCTGGCCAGAGAGCCATCCGATGGCTTGATTGTGATGTGACTGCCCAAGTGTCACTGCTCGTGGCAGGCCATGTCCCGCCCTTCGCAGTCCGGAGTAAGCAGACAACGGGCCTTCCCGCGAGTGATGTGCGCCCAAGCTTGCATCCGTACAACGTCGGTCAGATTAAGGAGCGTGGCCGATCTCATCAGCGAGGGCGAAAAAGCACCACATTCGCTGAACAATGTGTTTGAAGCCGTAGCAATCGCTGTGGGCTCGTTGCTCGCCTAGACAGAAAAAGAGAGAGGACTCCGTAGCCTGCTGGGGTGGGCAGAATTCTCGAGGTGACTCCCCTCCCCGCCTGGCGAACAGGGCAAGCTGAGCGTTGCGATTTGCGCGTGAGACCTCAGGTGCGTCGCCCAAGGTTACGGTGGCATCCCGATAGGCCGACTGGGCCTTTCTCCAACTAAGGTAGAAAGCCCCTCTCAAGATGGGTGCAGTGATGCATGGTCAAGGTCGTCTCCCGCGCCCAAGTCAGTGAATGCGCGTAGTGTGTGCGAGCAGCGGAGGTCAGGATGGGTGGGATTTGTAGCATGGATGCGTTGGCCAAACGAGTATGGAGTTTGCCTGACGCATATTGGTGGTGCTCTCCGTACTTTGTGGGACGTTATGCCGGCAGCCATCTGAATCACTGCGTCTGACACTGTTGGGGAGCGCAGGCGAAGCATGTCACGTCGACGACGTGAGCTGGCGAGGCAGTCGACCAAGTTTCGAGTAGGATAACCCCGCGGCATCACTTTTTGGGGGCCACGCGTGGTTGAACTGCCTGTGGCGTCAGGATGGGCTGGAGGAACGTCGCAGGTTGAAAGAAGAAGCTATTTCGAGTGCGTTTCTACCACGGTCCCAGCTGCACGGCGACACGGTGACGAGATCAAGGACCCAAGCGACCTAGGATGGACTGGCCAGTGATGTTGATGTCGTGTTGCTTTGCCGTCATGGGTGAAGTCATCGTACTGGCTTGTTTCTTCCAGCCCACATGCACATGCAAATGGGGCAGGGCATGGCATGTTCAAGTTCATGTTGTTGCTTTTTAGTGAGGCTCCGCCGGGAGAAAGCATCGGATCCATGCAATGGAGATGGAGTAAGGTACCTGAAGAAGTACCCAGCAAATTTGCAAGGAAGGAACCGGGACACTGGACCTTCCATTGTCAGAGGTGTCAGGCTGTCAAGATGCGCAACTGGCACTGGGAACTTGGGAAGGTAGGCACCGGCCTCCGGGACACCGTGCTTGCTGTCCTTGGCCGTGCCTGATCGGAACGGCCTCTTTCCCCATGAGGCAAGGATGTTGGGAACAGCCAGGAACCGGGACGACTGCGAACAATGATGCGAGCAAACCTTCCGAATCATCGGTCTGGCAGGGCAGGGCTCCTGGAATCAATTTCGATTTTGAGAGTCAGGATACGCGTCCAAGAGACACAAGAGATACCTTGAGCCAACCGTTGTAACTAATCCGAATGGCGAGTCGCAAACAGGGGGAGAGTTTTCTCTCCTTGAAGCTTGGGCAGCTGAACTACGGGAACCCTGGAACCAACCTTTCCAGATGAGATGCGAGCTGTTCAAGAAAGTAGATCAGTAAGCCGCATACGAGACTTAACCTTTGGCGATTATTAGGTAGACTCTACGGAAACGGCCGGATACGAAAAAAAAAAAAAAAAAAAAAAGAGACATTACTATCAAAGAGCCACAGCAAGCAATGAGACGAGGAGCCGGGCTTGGCAACCAGGTCAAGTGGAAACACTGAGATGGGGTCTTTCGAGAGTCCGACTCAACCCATACCGAAGAAAAAAGGTGAGTGACAAGGCTTGCCAGGCCAACCATTAAACTCTCCGCAACTGATGGCTCGGTGGATGGGGACTCGAGGGAGACGAGAACCAAAGTATCCGTCTTCGGAGGGAGCCTCTCCAGCCCGCTCGCGAGATGAACAAGACTGTTGGTCATCATGCTCAATGCGCGCCGATCGTTTAAAGCAAGCTGGACAAGACGACCCTCGACCGTCAGGGCGAGACATGCAAATCCACGACACATTCGTTGGATAGGTTTTGTTGTTCTCTTTTGTTTGCTGTTACGGAACAGGCATTGCCTTGCTGCCGGTCCTGTAAGGCAACCGAATCAGAGGGCGTTCGGGAACCATTCGGATCCGCCGTCCATCATGCGATGCAGTCAACCAGTGTCTCTGTTTCTTGTCCACCGCCCGGCCGCTTGATTCCCTCCGTCTCTAGTCTCTTGGCTCAAATCTCAATCTTTTCGAGCCTCTTTGATGGGGGGTGGATTCGGCCCGCGCGCGTGAAACGCCCAAGACCGAGTAAATTGATTCGTAGCAAAAAAAAATTATATCAGATTGTCCAGGGTTAGCTGACAGGATATTGAGATTGCACTCGACGAGACTGCAGCCTCGTGTCACCATCGTCGACGCCGAGTTGCTCGCTCGCCGGCTACGATCAGCAAAAGCTAGCTAGCTGAACAGAGTTTCCCCTTGTTGGTTCCCTCGACAGAGTGATATGCTGCGTGGGGAACACACGAGGTCTGAGAGTCGACAGCAAAGAGAAAAGAGACACCGCTTTCTTTCTCACCCGCGCAAAACGTGCCAAGAAACAGCAGGGCAGGACTGGAAAGCTTGGCTTTCGCAACGGCGCATGCCAAAAGTGCCTCTAGATACCCTGACCGGCCGGGCTACGATATGTACAGGGATGCCGATTATCCTGCGCACGCCAGAAGACAAGACATGCTATTGTGCTTGTGTCGGCTGGGGGCCCGGGTCTGGTGTTGTATCTGACTTCTCGTAGACAGGCACTGTAAGATTAGGGTATGCGCGGGTGCGGTTGTCATGCTGGGCGGCTGCGGCTGATGATACGAGACGGGCCGGGGGGAGGGAACTCAATGGTCGTCCTGATCAAAGAAGCGCTCTACTTGTCTGTACAGGGTGAGGTACTGACTACTGCGTCGGGCAGGGCGCCGAACAAAACCAGACAATGCAAGACTGTACCGACGCTGATGACGACGAGTGAGCCGTGCAGTCCCTCGCAACTCCTCCTAGGTCAAGACTGCAAAGTGGCGGCAGAAGCGAGGTGGAGGGCAAGCGGGCTGCGGGCTGCACCCGCGCGACCATGCCTCCAAATTACCTTGGCTCTTGCGAGAACCACAAGGCTTGGTACGGCAAGTCGGCATCGCGAGGAACGGAGACGTCGCCCCAATGTAGCCAGCAAGACGACAGCGTGGCCGAGGTCAAGGCGACCACGGAGGGATCGTCCATCGGTATGAGGTCAACCCACGGCAAACTGGAGTAAACGCGGGTCGAGAGCCCGAGACAATGACGGGCCTGTGAGTCTGTGAATAGGGCAGAAGAAACAGGAACTCGGAGTTGTTCGTTTTGTTGGCTGATGCTCGACTCTTTTCCAACAAGCCATCTCCCCGCCCGGTTTGCGGCCATTATCCGGAATTGTTTTCTGCTTCACAGCTGGTCATCTTTGCTAGCGGGTTTATCCTGCCGTCATGCTTGGCAACGGGCGGATGAAACGGGCTCGTTGCCAGCTCAGATTCTCCTAATCGTGCCATGGCCGTTAATGTGTACTGTGTAATGTCACGCGGTAGAATGCTAACAGAGCCGGTGTTGGACTTCCCTACTGCGTACATCTCAGGCGCCCCTGTCATCTATCCACCCCGCGCGTGTGTAGCAAAAGCGTAAACTGTCTCTATGTGGACCACAAGCCCACAAACCCATTCATGGATGGAGATTACTGTACAGACCACAGAGCACTGTACAGACTACGGTACAGAGTACAACTGCTCCGTAGACGAAGGCCGAGGGGGCCGGGGTGCTTCGTTGGTAGCAGCCGATGAGACTGTATCCGTATCCGCGGGCTCTGGCGCAACTCCATCTCTCCAGGCTCCAGCATTTCCACGGTTGCGGTTGGTAAATTTCGAGCGGCACAGCCTGGTAACTTCCGAGGACATGTGTGTATCTCGTTGAGGCTTGTCAGTAGCGCCGTGTCAGAGGCTCAGGGGAGAAGCACGTGTGTCGTCCATGGACCATCCCCCACATCAGACACAGCGCTGGCGGCTGGCGGTGAGACGGGGCGAAGTGTGAGATGCTCCGTAGCACAAGAAATATCTCCAAATCAGCCCAAAAATGGAAAAAAGGGAAACACAAAAGGCAAAAAGTTAAAGTAGAATGCCTGCTCCGCTTAGGGCAGCCCCAGTGGCATGGGGCAAGCGCCGAGCCGCAAAGGGGATGCTCGCAATGTGAGACCCCAGACTGCCCAAGCTGCGACAGAGGAGATGAAGATGGCGCGCACTTCAGCTGTCACGGCCTGACTCTTCATGGACAATCCAGGGTGGGCGTGTGCTTCCAGCGAATGGAAGAAAGACAGCATGGCGATAGCGACATTTCCCATCTGACCATTCCGGCCGTGAGGGTTCAAAGAGTGTTCGGCTCAAGAGCCTGATTCCAGTCGACTTTGCAGCGGCTGTTGCCCCCAAAATGCCAGCAGTTGTGATCTGGAGCGGTCCAAAGGGCGAACGGGAAGTGAGGACCGCGCCATTTCCTCGGGCATCATCGTCCCGACTAACACGCCGAAAAGAATCGCAGAAAGACAGACCAGACGCACTCGGGCTGGGCCTCTTCCGCTGGCGCGTGGGCAATCTCGTCGGACTCGCTTCTTCTCCAAAGGGAGAAGACTGAAGCTGCGAAGCAACATCGCATAGCATGGCATGGCATGGCATGGCGTGGCGTGGCACGGCGCGGATTGGAGTAGACTTGGGGGCGAGTGATTAGTTCTGTGGTCAAAGACCAGGGTGACAAATGGACGACCATCCGTAGACCATGATACCTTCCCATTCCTCTCCCTTTGCCTGGGCCCGAGGTGCGAGGTGCATTTGAGAGCCCATGTGAGCAGCCCCCGACAGCGCCGAAGAAATGAGGACGCAAGACAAGTAAGCGCGTGTGGCAGAGTGTCCGATGGTGAGTATCTAACTAGATGGGCGGAATGGGATATTTGGACGAGAGCAGGGGGGTTCATGGCCTCGATTCAGAGATACGATATGCCACCCCCCCTCGTCTTCTACCCTGGCGATTGGGTCGAGGGAGAAGAATGGCTGTACTCTCTGTACGAGTGTGTGTGCGCGTTTGGCCAAGCAGACGGAGGAATCGGGAGAATAGCACCTCAGGAGGGATAGGGAGGACGGGAGATTTGCTGCCTTGTCGGCATCCGATTTGTCGTAGCCAGAGAGTAAGCGAGCGACGAGGTGGAAAAAGTGTGACAGCGTCTGCTTGGGTGAGGCGACCGGGGACGTGGTTGTGTTTGGGAAAGGCCCTCGTGACCCCATTTTGGAATTTTTTTCTTAGACTGCGTAGGGTACGGAGTACGGGAGCCATGGCCCCCAGAGACAGAGCCCAAGGTCCCAAGATGATTGTTGCGACACGAGCAAAGACGTTGGGTTGGGTTTCTCCTTCTCTTGCGTGCGCCTTCCCCCCCCCCCCCCCTCCATATCCGTCCTCCCATGTCGATAGCCCAATGGCTCACCCCTGCCGTTGAGATGGGCAACTTCGGCGCCGCCGTCACCCTCTCGTCTGGTGTCTGCACTTGAAAGGTGCGATTCTCAATCTCAGAAGCCGCGATGGTTGCTGTACACCGGCCAATGGAAGCAAGACACCACACCGCTCGCGTCGTACCGCGCCGGTGGGCGGGAAAGGGACTGCCGTCTCAATCCCATCTCCATCCACGCGGGAAACATCACACAGACTGTTCTCCTCTTTGACCAAGGCATTATGTCGCGCGTAATCAGCCAAGAATGTGGTGATGTGAAGTCCGACGCACATTTCTCCCGTAGTAAAGTACCTCGTAGCGTATTGCACGCAGTGGAGGCGGGAAGGAGGGGTTCTCTGAAGTTAGCGGTTGCTAAATTCGTTCTACCCGTTGTTAGTGTACGTACTTCTTGCTTCCTTCCACCAAGTTCACAGTACGTACATATCCAGCTTAGATAAGACAGACTTACCTAATCAAACGACCCACCATCCTCCCTCTCAAAAATTGCAACCTTCAAGTCCCAACCGTGATGACGGCACCCCAAGAACGAAACACCATCCCTCGACAAGGGACCCTCGAACACCAGCCCGACGTGGGGAGGGGGCCCCTTCGGCAGCGGTTCGGTGCAGCGCAGGGCTGCTTGCTTGCTGCTTGCTCGGGGGCCCGGGATTCTCCTCAGCACCGGATACCCAGAAACCACTGGCCCAGATTGCGGATCCCTTTTTGGCCTCTGTGCCCTTTTCTTTGTTCCCCCTTGTCCGCCTCAGCTTGTCCCTGCCCGGGATTGGGGTTCTTGTGTGCCCCTTCGACGCGTCTTCAACCTTCGAACCGGCTTCGAGAAAACTACGTCACTCCAGGGGGCCGCACCCAATGGGAGCCCAACGCTGACTGCTTTTCCCCAGCTCTCGACGCTATCTCCGCCCCTGTGGTGTGATTGGGACCGCCAGTCGCCTCCATCACTCGCCTGCTCCTGTCCTGTTATCGACCAAGGCATCGTGGCCGGAGGCGTTTGACCATATCCCACGCTCTTTACCGCCGGTGTGGTCACCGCTTTACAAAGTGCTCCAAAAGTTGCAAAGTCCACACATCTTCGAGAGGCTCTGCTCCCAACGCGGCGGCGGTGAGCAGCAACGCTACCCATTGCAGGGGCCCAAAGAGCATGACCAGGGAATCGACCAACCAGCTTCGACCCTCCATCTGACCGCACACCTTGAATCTGGCGACGGTGTTACTCTTCTTCAACAATATCGACCTTCACAGTCAAGATCGGCGCATCACGCCCTCCCGGATCTCTGCCGTATTGACCCTCCTTCTCTCACCGTACCTATCATTCCCATGCTTCGACCACGCGTACCTGACTGAGCCGACCCTCTGTCTCGGCGCCAAATAAGGGACAACCAGGCACGGGAGCAGTCTACCGGTCCCGACCCTTGGTTACGGAGACAAACTCCGAGCGTCCATGAGACACCACCACTGTGTTCCAGTCACGCTCCAAGTCCACAAAAAAGCACAAGACAAGGACCCCTAATAACGGGAGAGGACGAGGCTCAAAAAAATCAATGACTCCGACACCCGGTCCGCTGTGCGAGACGACTCGCTGTGTGCGCTCAGGGACGTTAGAGGCCCAGGCAGATGGGTGGCCCCGTCAGGGGTCGTCTCGGCCGATTGATTTCCAACGTGGCCGGCTGACATGTTAGACGCAACGTCAATCTGCCCATCAAACACGAACAATGGAGAATCAATGAAAAAGAAGAGCAACGAGTCGACAGGCCTGCCCAAATGCAACACAGACAGGGAGTGTTGTGTGGGCTCAGCTATTGTCGTTCGCAATATCATTCGCAATTAAGGGAACCATCCGGCGGCTATCCACTCCTCGGCCGGGTGGGGTTTCGTTACCTGGCGGCTGGGCGGTTGATCGGAAAAGACGGTTACCGGCTCAGCAGGATATAGCAGTCACAATCGCATGCTCACGCTATTGCTATTGCACCTCCAACGCAAAGCCATTGGCACCCGGTCTAACCCGCGTTCGTCTCATCCCTATCGCAGGTTTGGCACACGCAGCAAGGTGCGACAGGCAATGACATACATGACGCTGGCGTGCAATGCATCTACTGACTTGTCGACGGCTTGGAAATTGGGGCACGACAGCGCTTGCTAGCTCATCCATTGGAGTCAAGACCGTCGGGCCGCGTTCTCATCGCCAAGCGACTGATTGCTGCATACCATCGTGCTGTACGGGCAAATGGCTGCTTAGGCATGTTGACAGAAACCACCGCATGACCTGTCTCGTTCGCGAAAAGCAAATGTCGGTGTGTTGCACTTCTCAGCGCCCATCCAGCCAAATCGCAAGTTGGGGAGAAACTCGGCATTCCTCGACCACGCCCCTGATAGCCCGCGGTTTTTTGAACCCCGCAGCAGGTCGGTCCCCCGGGACTAGCAAGACATGCCCGCCGCATAGGAGCCCGACGGGCGCGGTGCTAGCGCCGTAGCTTCCGACTCAACACCTTTTTTGATCGGTTTCTCGTTGACCTCTGCGTTATGCTTATTGGAGGTGAGCGCAGCCAAGGCTCAAGACACGAGGCAGTGAAGGACGACGACAGCACCCTCGCCGCAAGACAGTCATCTGCAGGAGGGACCAGGTTCAGCGGCCGGCCATCTCGTCAGCTCGTTGGTTATCCTGCTCACAGCACAGCCAACGTGTCTTGATCGTCGCATCGCATCAGGGCAGGGTAACCAAGACGCGCCTCAGACACGCCAGCAAC